GGGGGTGGGGTGGGGAGGGAGACAGGCCAGCTCAGGCTGGGGAGACAGAGCCCCTACTTCTGAGCCTGAATGTCTGCTTTGGACACTGGGCTGTAGGGCCCCCAGCAAATACCTGAGCCACCAGGGCTGGCTTTTCTCATCTACAAAAAGAGAAGATTGGACTGAACAATTCTTAGGGTCACTCCCAGCCTTGACCCCTATAGAAGTGTAGGTTGTGGGCCCTCCCAGGTGGCACTGCAAGGGCACTGTAGGACGCAGCACTGCAAGCCAGCCCCAGCCGCTTCAGAGTGAGTTTGATCCCCCCCTGCCCCAAGGTGGAGGTGATCCCCATGGCCCAGCAGACCCCTCCTGACTAGCCTGCTGCTCCCCTCAGCACTGTGCTTCGTCGATCTAGCTGTTCTGCTCCCCACTCTGTCTCTGGTAGATCTTCTCACCCGCCTGCACCTTTGGCCTATACCCCAGTTCTGTATGCATAAATAAATAAATCTTTAAAAAAAACTGTAGGTTGTACTTTCCAGGCAGGATACAGTGGAGGGGGGCTGACCCCCACCCATTACTGCACCCCAAACTCCACAGATTGGCATGATACTGATGCCTTTGAAATAAACAGGTACCCCCGAGACTACCTCTGAAATCAGTGGGTTTTAGAGTGTTTAGCTAAAAATGGCTGGGAATTCGCCCCACCCAGGCGGGGGGGGGGGTTGCAGGGGGGGTTCCCCGGAGGCAGGTGGGGGAGGCCCATACTCACTCCTCGTGCTTGATGCCCAGCGACTCGCCCTTGTCGGTGCTCAGCGTGCCCGCACCCTGCCCATAGCCGTAGCCCTTCGGGCCGTACTTCTTGCCATAGCAGGATTTGCAGTATATCTCCTCACCATGCACGGCTACGGTGGTGCTGTCCAGATTCTTCTTGCAGACCACTGTGGAGGGAAGCCAGTGTGAGGGGACGGGGTGGAGCTGCTCGCTGGCCAGCCCTGCAGCAGAAGCCATGGGCCCTTTCAGGATCAGTCAGGAAATGGGAGCCTGGGAGCCAGGAGAGAGTGGAGACGGGGTGGCCCAGCCCCTGCTGCCAGGAGCCAGGGTACCTTCCTGTGTCCCATACCCTCATGCCCCTCCAGGCCGCAGGGCACTCCAAGGTCCTCAGGGCAAAGCCGAGGCTGACCCCCAGCCACAGGAAACCTGCTGAGGGCCTTCATTCTGCCCTTGACAAAGAGACCTCGTGTTCCAGCAGGAGGAATGCAATGGGAGCTTTGATAGGTCCTGAACCTTGAAAATCTTTGTCCTATGGGTACATGAAGGGTTTCTGGAAATCTACATCCTCTGAATGAAATAGACGTGGTTTAGCAGGTGGTTATGAATATTCTGGGATCACAAAAATCTTTTAACATTCCACAGGAAGTTATGGATCATCCCAGAAAGAGACATGTTCCCACACAACTTTATATAATTTTAGAGGTTTTGCAGATCTCTGAAACCCACCATCCACTTTTGGAAGTCTGTGGCCCCCACCTACAGAGACTCAGGGGTTTCTTTGTAACTTGCTCTGACTTGCCCCAACTGGTAATAATGAGGGCTGACGCTGTCCTGTTCATGAGTGATTTCAAGCTTCAGCGTTGGGGGGCAGCAGCATCAGCACCTCTGGGGTCAGAGGGAGACACTGACAGCCAGGGGCACAGGCTCCTTAAGCAGAGCTGGGATCAGATGCACAACGTTCCAGCACCCACACTTCAGTAGTCCCCTTCCCTTCTCCCCATGACGCTGGCACCTTACCTTCCCAGCACCAATCACCTTCTCGGCTGCATAGACTGCCTGGCTGCAGCGGGGGCAGCGCTCGGAGCTGCCAATCTTCTGGGCAAACTTGGATGCATTGGGGTTGGTCGTAGGCCTGTGGCCAGGCGCCCTACATGGGCAAGGAAACACAGCCGTGAGGTCCAAATGTGAGAAATACAGGTGGGACTAGCACAGGGTGGAGGTGGGGGGGTGGGGGGGGCAGGAGAGCTCTGTTCATCATGCACCAAGTGGGGTGCAGCTCATCCCCCACGACCATCACCCATTCTACAGATGGACAAACCAGGAAGCAGCACAACGTCACTTTGACTGAAACCATCATCTTTCCTCAGTCCCTAGTAAAAACACTGGAATTGACGGAAGCTTAAAGCAGAAAAGTTAGAAAGGAAACTTCTCAAGCCAGGAACAAGAGGCGAGGTAGACGTGGTTAATAAGACTTAAATGTGCCTGGGAGATGTGTAGGGGGCAGACCGGACGGACGTGGGCATGCGGACAGCTGCCTGTCATTACAAAGAACCTGCAGGCCTTACTGAGCACCCCAGCCAGACCTCAGAAGTGATAGATTTCACAATAGATAAAAGCCACAAAGGAACAAACCCTCCAAAGAACATTCTGTAAAGGTAACCCTTGCTCTGGCAAAACACAGCTCTCTGCCTACCCCTGTCTACACAGGGGCCTCTTTTTTTCTAATAAAACTACCCTTTATTTATTTATTTAAATTTTTATGTAGAAGAACTAGGGTGTTGGTGAGTGCTGCAGGGCGTGACAGGATTCACCAGGGACGGAATGGGGTGCAGAATAGGCAGGCGAACTGAAATACACTGCTGAAGGGAGCAGTGGGGGAGACAATAGCGCTAAGAGGGAACCCCCAGAATGTCAGGAGGCCCTAAGCCTACCCTTAGAAAAGGCCACATCTGCCTGTCTGAGTCCTGCAAGGTCTTTTTCCTTAGTAAACTTGCTGTGTGCCACTGAATGGGGAAACTGCCTAAATCTCTCTCAGATTTTGAACCCTAAGGACCCCACTTGCTGAACCGCTGCATCTGAACCCCATCAGAATCACTTAACACCTCATTTGCTGAGACTGCCCGCTCTGTCCCCCTCCCTGCAGCCAGCCCATCATCAGCCCATCATTAGTCTATGACAGATCACATTGCCCCACCCAGCAATGACCTTGGCTGAAATGTGCTAATCCCTTCCCCCACCCCACCCCAAGGGCCAAGGAACTGTCCCACTGACTAACTGCATGTCAGAGGTCAAGGGGTGCTGGGGACCAAGTGATACCAGTGGTATTGCCAAGGAAAAGACGTGACTTCCCCTTGGCGGGGAGCTGGGGGT